CAGATTATACAACTGCTTTCTTTTTTATATGTATAGCAAAATATACACATTTATGTTTGCTATGGAGCGCAATTATGCAAACTTTGCTATAACATACAAATATGAATTTTGTGTTTGCTATATGTGAAAGTTGCTCTAAATTTTACTCCTTTAAAAATTAGAATTTCCTAACTTAAATATGAAATTATTATAATATCCCCAACTAAAAACACTTAATTTAGCATATTTTCTATATTTTATATTTATATTTATTTATTTATATATTATATTAAATTCATACATTTGTTCACATTGAAGGGTTGTGACTTTTTTCGAAGGGTTGTGATTTTTTCAAAGAGTTGTAACTTTTTTGAGGAGTGGTGACTTTTTCGAAGGGTTGCAATTTTTTCTAAGGGCTGTGACCTTTCAAACTAGCTGTGAGTTGTGATTTTCCGATGAGTTGTGACTTTTTCTATGGGTTGTGATTTTCATAATAAGGGCAATAAGCACGTGTTAATACAACCATTTATTGGCTATAAATAACAGAAAATAATTTCCTCTTATTTTAAACTATAAATTTTCTAAATTTTCTATACTTCTTCTTCTTACAAAACTCAAGTGTAATTGTAGTCGTTGAGTGAGTTCGAAGTTCAACGAAATTCAAATTACTACTGTTCTTGTGATACAAAATGGCATGTCATCAAATAAATTTTCATTTGGTAAGAGAATGAACTATCAGAATAACTTTAATTTAGGTATACCTAATTATAACATAGATGCTAACACACATAATCATTGCTTTATAAACTATAAATGGTTGCTAATTAAAGAATAAGTAAGAAAAATAAAACCTGAATCTGTCACTTTCTTTTAGTCATTTCTTTGACGTGGCCGTTTTTGCCATATACTATCAATATATTTTATATACACGTATACAATGTATGTATCGATAATAAAAATCCTTTTTAAACCAACTATAAAGAAAAAGCAAAACATTTAAACTAATAGGAATACTATTTTGAGTGTAAAATGAGTGTTTATACCAAAGCTTTTCAAATACATTTTAATTGTCTCAAGTGATTATTTGTTACAACTTATACCCCTTTCATTTTAATTTGTTTGCTTTAATTTTTTTTAATCCATTTAAGAAAGAATATTTCTTTTCCTTTTGGCATGAACTAAATCTTTAATTTCATATTTAAGACCATAAGATTAAAGAGTAATTTGCTACATTTCACATATATTTAATTTAAAATTACAAAATTCA